GGGGCGTGGAGACGGGCGGGGGGGGGGGAGCCAAAGTGCCTTCGGGGCGCATGGACCCTCCGTGTGAAGGGCGGGGGCCGGGCTGACCCAACGGGCTCTTGAGCGGGGGTGGGGACTTCTCTGCGGGGGTAGGAATTGGCTCCCTTTGAGCGTGAGGAGGGACGTGTGATGGGGCGGGAGGGAAGGAGGCAGAGCCATCTAGGGACAATGAATTGGCTTCCCTTCCCCCATGGCTCAGGTTTCCTCTACGGGACGCCTCCTAAGTTGGGGTCCGGGGTGGGGGGCGGTAGGAAGGAAGAGACGCGTCTCTCCCGCTCAGCGGGTTTCTGGAGTAGAAGCAGCAACGATACCGTGGAAATGGCTGATCAACTTTGTTTTAACATCTCTGTCTCCTGAGGGATGGGGGCTGGGAATTGAGGGGGCATTGACGATCCAACGACAATGAAGGACGCCTAATGAGCCATCCTTCCGCAGCTCGGGATTCGTTGCTTGTCTCTTCATTTCCCCCTACAGTGCTCTCCTCCTCCCGAGCATCTAAAAGTGTGCTCCTCAAACTTAAAGGACAGAGCAGCTCCTTGTGGCTCAGATCAGATTGAGTCTATAGATCTCAACTGCTTTTTTATTACAGATCGATTATTTATTTGTAGGCTGGGGAGGCCAGGGCAGTTGCCACCCTTAGTATCTTTCACTTTAAACACATTTGATACTAGTGTCTTTGACACTATTTTTTAAAATAAGCATAATTGTTCTTCTTCTTGTGTATATATATTTTGCATTTTCAGCATGCTCATTTGCTAAACATATTGCAAAGCAGTCTATCTCAGTCAACTGTTTTGACATCTTTGTGAGCTGTTCTTCTATTTACTTGCAAAATTCCTAGAAAGTGAAAACATTGCTTCAGACTCCAGTTTATTCTACTTTTCAGACATTTTTATTCATTTTTATTCCTTTCATTTTTATTACTGTACATTATCAGCATAAAGGAAATGAGACTAAAACTGTTAATTTATAAATACCAAATTAATTTTATATTGTATTAAGCTTTTCTGGTTTAAGTATTCTCTTCTGTCCCTTATTTGGGATTTGGTATATTGATCTGTGTGACTCTTTCTCTCCTTGTCCTGTTTTCCCCAATGACTAAGCTGGGACCAGATATGAAAGGGTTGAGAAGTTATTCATTGAAATCTGCTTTGTAATAATGAGTAAAAAAAGATGTTTATGTAGTGCAGCGATTATCATTATTTACTGAGCAGCTGGTATCTGACACAAGATGGTAATTTCCACTCCAGGGCATGTGATGAAGTGAGTTTTACCCACAAAAGCTTATGCCCAAATAAATCTCATAGTCTTTATGATGTCACAGGACCCCTTGTTCTTTTTACAAATACAAACTAACACAGCTGAGCCTCTGATTAGGGATCTTAAATATCCATTAATTGAATAGTCAATTAACCTCATGAATTCTTATTGGTTACTCGACAATTCTATAATCCCCAGGTGTGGGGCCAGCAGCCAGTGCAATCTGGACCCATTCCCAAGGAGCCCCTTGCCGCTCTGTGCTACTGCTTCTGTATCAGAGGCAGCAGAGTGGTGTGCCAGACAGGAGCTGATTGGAGAGAGGAGCCAGTTTAAAAACCAGCTCCCCTTGTGGACCAGCTGCCTGCCATCCCCGCTGCCTCTGATACAGAGGTAGCAGCATGGGGTGGCAGCAGCCCCTATTCGGGGGAGTGTGTGCGGATTTGAGCTCTCTGATCCGGAGTGAGCCAGAATGGAGGCGGGCTGCCTGCCTGCCTGGCTCCTAATACACATCGAATGCAGTGCTGCAACAGGGATAGGTCCTGGATATGCCATGCTGCTGGTCAGCCTGCTAAAAAAAATTACCCGGGGGAGCAGGAGATGGGGGGGGAATGTGTGTCATCTATAGCATTAACTTATAAGCTTTTGCTCATTAGTTAATCAATTTTACTACTACATCCCTACCTCCTGCTACTTGTTAAAATAAACAGAAGTAATCTTTCTAGGGAAGAGGCTGTGATCAACTCTGAGTAGATTCCAATGGATAAATTCTCAACCCTTTTATATCTGGTCCCAGCTTAATCTTTGAGAAAACAGTAGAAGCGATAAGGGGAGACCAAGAAATACTGATCATGAATTTGATGAAGTAGGTCTTTGTCCATGAAAACATATGTCCAAATCTGTTAGTCTTTAAGGTGCCACAGGACTCCTCATTGTTTCTGTTTATTTTAGTTACATTTTGGATGGTTCTTTTTTGTAGAACTCTTAATTCTGTGCACTTTGATCAGTACTGACGCTTCTCCTTTTACTATAGGGCTATGTCTACACTCGCGGCTTCTTGCGCGAGAAATATGCAAATGAGGCTAAGCGTGGAATGTTGCCGAGCCTCATTTGCATACCTAATGAACCGCCATTTTTGCAGAAGAGGCTCTTGCGCCAGAAGGAGCTGTCTACACTGCCCATTCTTGCGCAAAAAAACCCCTCTTGCGCAATGCCGTTATTCCTGAAAATAATCGGCGTAGTGGCATTGCTCAAGAGGGTTTTTCTTGCGCAAGAAAGGGCAGTGTAGACAGCTCCTTCTGGCTCAAGAGCCTCTTCTGCAAAAATGGCGGTTCATTAGGTATGCAAATGAGGCTCGGCAACATTCCACGCTTAGCCTCATTTGCATATTTCTCGCGCAAGAAGCCGCGAGTGTAGACATAGCCTAGATGTTTTAAGAGTTGTCTCCTGTCTGTAAAAGCACTTTCCTCCAAAATTTGTGATTCTATGTGTCTGTGAAAAATGTTACTTTACAATATAGATACAATAAAGAATAGAAAAAATTAAATACAAAATATTAAATCAAACAGTTTATTATAGGATTCAAAATTAAGGTCTTGAGACATTCACTCTAGATTTGATGGAATACTAGAATTCAAATTCTATAGTTAGATGAAGGCTATTTAAAACTGATTGTCCTATAGTTTAAAATAAGCCGTATATATGTTTGTGTTACAGGTGAGATTCATTTAGTTAAGTGTGACTATATCTGACCGATGACTGACTTTTATACTCAACTGGATATATGGTTTGATTCAGAGCAGTAAAGTAGGAGATATTTGTACTGCTGAACATTTTGCTTGGTAACTTTGACCTAGGTTTAATATGATTAGTTAGAGCTCTTCACCTGATTCCATCTTAGCTTATAGATTTTTGTTCTGCAAAGTAGTTATTGATGATTTTTCCAGATAAAATGTCTGGCAAAGCTTTAGCATGTGTTTCAGGAAAACCTCATATTGCTCTCTGTAGTGTTGAAATATGTAAGAAGTGAATTATTCACTTTCCATGAGTAACTTTCCGTGAGTAATCCTACACTCTCATTTCATGATGGGGATACCTTATTGTCAGAGTGTCCTGCGTTGCTCCATTTTCTGACTTCCCAAATTACTTTTCAAAAATTGTTTGGCTTATCTTGACTCTGGTGACTCATTCACACATGAACTACAATGGCAGGTAGTGTGTGTTTCTTAAGTTATAGGACAGAAGGTATCAATTTAAACCGAGACAAATCTAGTGACGAGCAAGTTTAATTATAGATCTTTACTGTTACTGGTCAGTTTCACCTAGCTACATTAAGTTCAGAAACATGGTGTTAATATTAAGGACAGGAGCCATTAAACTTACTGTGTATGTGTTTAACAGCATAACATTTACCACTGTGTTGATAAGTCACAGTGTGCTACAATTTTTATTCAGTACATTTTATACTTTTTTTGGAAGGGATGTGTGTGTAAGGAAAGGGGTATATCTGTACAAAGGACCACTTTGCAAATACACCTAATTTCTGTAGATACAACTCCATATATACCTTTTTTAGATTTTTTTTTTACCTACATAATCCTTGATGTATGCTGTTCAAATTAATTGAGTACATTTAATACATTAGGAAACGTGTTTTTTGAGCTAGTAGAGCTTTAATGGTCTCTTATGTAATCAGAACAGTCAAACTTTTTACATGAGCCACACCATGATCACAAGTTATGGTTTGGAGTCATACATGTGCTAAGCCTCTCTGTTCTGTTAGGAAACATGTACACAAAGTAGATATACAGGTTGAACCTTTCTAGTCCATCATTCTCTGGTCCATTAACATCTGTGTTCTGGCATGATTTAAGTTAGCTAAATGTACACTTATCATGGGTGTGGCTAAGTTTTCTGCAGTCCCATAAAGCAGGGGTGGGGAACCTTTTTTGGACTGGGGCAGCTGAACCACCGAAAAGTCAATTGGGGGCCACACGCAAGTGAGAAGCAAAAAACCCAAATCTTAACTGATGTGGCCCCTAACTGAAAAGGAGAAAGACACTCCTTATATTCCCCTCACATACCAGAGCCTAGTAGATTTTGTGTGCTCCAGCCTTACGGGGAGGTGTGG